TGCTCATTTTTGAGCTGAGGGAGTTTCTGTTTTGTGGAAAACCATGGAGTGTTTATCCATTCCCCCGAGGACACTTGGGCTGGTTCTAGTTCTTGCCAATTGAGAATAAAGGACGTGATGATACATGAGCTTGGGTAGGTTCTCCCTTCAAAACTTGGTTTTGGTTTCTCTTGGTAAAAAGCCTAGGAGAGGGATGGCTGGGCCAGGTGGTAAGCAACTTTATAAGACGCTGCTCATTTTAATTGTTTCCTCCAGAGGCTTTGTTCTCTTACCTCTGCCTAAACTTCTCTTCTCCTGCCCAGCCTTCACTTTTTCCACAGATTCATGGGTAACTGTCTTTCAGCTCCATCCCTTGGTCTCCAACCTCCCTTCAGTCACTGGGTTTCCCTCTATACTTTCCTTGCTTTCTAAAGATGTGTCTCATCACACCCGTCCCCCTCAACCTCACTGGGACCTTGCCTTTTGGACATCAAACTGCCACCTGCACCACTCAGGACTCAGGGGTCCCAGGACCCCCATACCCTGAGCCCTCCTGCCCTGTTTTCACCCTTCCCTCAGTGACATCCATTCTCCTGGGTCCACCCAAGGAGAATCTTTCTCTGCATGGCTTCCTGGGGCCCAGGCCAAGTGACAGCAAGAGTCTGGAATCAGACTGCTGCCTCCCTGACCCACCTGCTGTTGACTGCCAGATCCTGGGAGGCAGGGGTGTCTTCTCATTAAAGTCTGATTCCCCCATCCCAGCAGGCGCTTGGCACAGAGGTGGTGCCCAAGGTGGACACAGGCAGGGAAGACTCTGCCACAGGAAGAGGGTACGTGGAAAAAATGGAAAATCAGAAAAACCCCACTCTCAAGTGGAAACACGATGGGGACAGGGAGGGAGGACAAGGTGGGAGGAAGGTGTCCACCTTTGTTCAGTCCAGCATTTGTGGGAAGAGCTCAGGGTGCCTGGCAGATGCGAAGTGTGGGTGGATTTGCTGCGCACACTCCTCCCTCCTGCGTTCCTGGTTCCTAAAGCCAACCATCTGGCATCCACTCCCTGCTCTCCTGAAGCCACAGGTGATGACTGAGGTTTTGGGTCTCACTCACCGACTTGAGAGGCAGCTTGGACACCATCTTTCCTTGGTCTCCCCTGGACCTTCTGGCCTCTCCAATCCCTTTCTGGATTCTTCCCACCCAACTCCTGCCTGGGAGGGAGGAGGATAACCGTACTGTGCCTACCCTCTCCAGCTCCTGTGGCCACCAGAGCTTGACCCTGGAGGCTGTCCTGCCTGGGTCCGGCCAACCACCTGTGGCCTCTACCTCCTCTCTGTCACTTTCCATATGTAAGAGGTGGTTCCAGGGGTAGGGGAAGGGGTGCCAAGAGCTTGGGGAGGGTAGGAGGGAGAACTGTTTAATGGGTCAGGTTTAGTTTTGCAAGATGAAGAATTCTGGAAATGGAGGGCAGTGATGGTCACTCAACAGTTTGAATGCACTTAAGGCTGCTTAATTGTGACTTAAGCATGGTTAAGGAGATTCCCTAGCTGTCCAGTGGTTAGGGCTCTGAGCTTTCACTGTAAGGAACATGGGTTCCATCTCTGATCAGGAAACTAAGATCACATATGCTGTGCGGTGTGAAAAAAAAGGGGGGGGAGTGTTTAAAAAGGTAAATTTTATGTTTTGCATATTTTAGCACAATAAAAAATGAACAAAAAAGCAATGGCTTAATGAACAAAAGTTTGCTTCCTGCTGGCAGTTCCCAAGACTATAACTGTTCCCAAGACAGTCCCCCAAGGATGGAGGAGTAGACCGAGGCCAGTGCTTACCTGCCCAGCCTGCTGCTCCCAGTCCTGACTGACCATGCAGCCTTTGAGAGGCTTGGATATGAAGAGCCAAACATCTAGTGCTCCAGGAAGTCTGTGCACAAGCCAAGAACGAGCTTGTGAGCCTGCCCAGCCAATAGGATTTAAGCATTGAGGATGTCTACACTTTACCTACAAGAAGTCTAGAACCAGCTCACTGATGTCAGTATCAATAGTCTGGGTCAGTGTCTCTGCTGATCTTCAGGGATTTACCTCTCTATCATAGATGGCTGCTGTGGCTCCAAGATCATGTCTTCACACAACTGTACTCAAGGCCAGAAAAAAAAAGAGTGGGATATTTCCCCTTTTATTATGGTGGAAAAATTTCCCAGTAACTTTCTGGTAAAATCCCCCTAATGTCTCATTGGAGAGAAGTGGGCCATGTAATGAAGTGGGCCATGTAATGAAGCTAGCCTAAAGATCTGAGTGACTGGGAAGGGAGATGACATTGCTTTTGGGGTCTTGTCTCAGTCAGGGAAACCTCAGGATGAAGCACCATAATGTTATTCATCCTGTTCATGATGCTAATTGTCTCGCTATTCACACTGTTCGCTGAACTTATGGTAGATAAGGTGCAAGTGGGAAAGTTGAAAGAAAACTCGAGAAGCTGTAGGAACTGCAGACACGTTTATTCTCAACTGACTGATGCAGCAGCCGTAGCAGTAGACACTCTATATTTTCTCCTCTGGTGGCTAACCCAACGGACACAGCCATGAGGCAGCAATAAATGCTTTCTAGGTGGAGCTCACATATCTGAGTGCCACACACAACCTGTGACCAAGCGAGTACTTCATGAAGGGCATGTGTAGTGCTATAAGTGATCTCAGCAGTTACACAGTCATTATTTACAAAACGTGGGGTGAGAGCCTGAATATGCCATCTTGGCTATTTGCTCTTTCCCTACAAACACTCTGGAGTCTTGAGTGTACCTGGGAACCTGTTAGCAAGGCAGAAGACAACGCCTCTGCAGAGCAAGCAACAAGCTCTGCTGCACTGTCCACAGTCCTTTCTGTTGTAAGATGGTATTCTCAAAATGCTTCCAGCTTATCACCATGGCTTGTAATACTTGCTGCTTTGCTTTATCAGTTAGGATTGCAAACCAACTTCATGGTGTCTTTGCTTACTCGTGTACAGTAAGCTGGAGGGAGGTGAGTACCAGCATCAGTGCTGCTAATCACTGATGTTGGGCTTCATATCTGTGATCCTCAAGGTTGTAAAGTGGCTGCTGCAACTCCAAGTTCTACATTTTCATACAAGGCAGAAAGATGAAAGAAACTGTGTTGAAATTTGCATCAATACCTTTCATCAGGAAAGCAAGAAAGTTTCTCCCAAATCCTTTCAGCAGACTTCAATGCAAGTCTCATTGGCCAAAAGCTTCTGACATGACCATCCCCCAATGTCAGATAGTTTGATGGGACAGAGTTGATATTTCTGGCCACTGTCCTGGAAGACAGTCAGAGAAGAAATGGCCAGTGGGCCACCTGGGACATCCACACCTCTCCTCCTGTACCTGTCATCTCCTTTGGACTGTGAGCTCTCCACGAGCAAGGATTTGCCTTGTCTGTGTTCATGACTTAGACTCAGTTACACAGAAGCCATGTAGTAAGTAACAGGGTGGGATGTGCAAAGCACAGTCCTAATGAGCCTGGAGAGTGGCTGTCACTGTCATGAATAATGAGCATGTTAAGCCCCTACACGACCCATCGTGTGTCTCAAACTTGTTCAGTCCTCAATCTGTGTTTGTCAAATGGATGCTGAGAGCACACGTGGTGGGTTTTCACTCCTTTCTCCCTGCTCTCCATGGTCTCATGAACACAGCTAGGAGTGTAGGGAAACTGTATATCTCACTGGGAACATCTGCAGGAGGACCTCATCTCTGCAACAACAGTCCATCAGAAGCAAAGGAAGTGTGTATCACCGGCTCTGCCACCTTCATGAACTGAAGCCCCGGGCAGGTTATTCGACCTCTCCAGGCTTCAGTTTCAATGATGCAGATGAAAGCTAATGACTTGAGCCTCTTCCTGTTGTGAAGATTAAATGACAGGTAACAGTTCAATCCCTGGGTCAGGAAGATTCCCCTGGAGGAGGGCATGGCAACCCAGTATTATTGCCTGGAGAATCCCATGAACATAGCAGCCCGGTGGGCTACAGTTCATGGGGTCGCCCAGAGTCAGACACGACTGAGCTACTGAGCACTCATGCAATGTGACAACTGCCTGGCCCACTCTGGGAGCCCAATCAATGCTTCTTTTTAAGACTAGTTTATCTTCTGAAGAACCCACAGGCCAGATAAGACCTCTAAAATTGCCCCCTTTGTGACAGGAGTGGAGGTTAGGAAAGCCAGAGACTAGATGCACAGATTTACAGGACTGGTAGGGATTAGCGAGGACCCAGTTCCACATATTGTGGGTGAAGAAACAGGAGACAGGCTAGTAGTCATTGCTCATAATCAACCAGCTCATAGACTGTGAGCTAGATAGAAGCAGGCTTCCTGTTCCTCACTCAATCCCACCAAATCCTAAAGCTGAAAGTGTGCATATGAGGTGGATTGGATTCCAGTTATGCTTATCTTCTAAATTAGGCAGAGTCAGAAAACTCTTTCAGTAAAGAGCTGGAAAGTAAATATTTAAGACTTTGTAGGTCAAGCATGGCTTCTATTAAATATTCTTGGGCTTCTCTCATGACTCAGAAGGTAAAAAATCTGCCTGCAATGCAGGAGACCTGGGTTTGATCCCTGGGTTAGGAAAATCCCCTGGAGGAAGGGCCAGTATTCTTACCTGGAGAATCCCCATGGACAGAGGAGCCTGGCAGGCTACAGTACATGGGATTGCACAGAGTCAGACACAACTGAATGACTAAGCACATTACATATTCTTGCTTTTTTGATTTGTTTTTTGTTGTTTACAATGCCTTAAAATGTAAAAAATATTTGTGGCTCGTGAGTTGTACCAAAAATAAGCTGTGGCTGGATTTCCCTGGCAGGGCATGGTCTGCCACCTCCCTGCTAATACGTCTGGGGTCCTGAGTGTCTGGAGGAGCTTCCCTTGCTCCTTCCATCCTCTGAGGAAAGCCTGGCTGTGTCTATTGTGACCACATTCCACGCCTGTTCTAGAAGCCTGGCAGGGGCTGGCCGCTGGGGAGAGGCAGACAGCTGTGGACGCCATGGAGGCCCTGAGTGCGGTCCTGTCCTGCCCTGTGTGCATGGAGCTGTTTACGCCCCCGGTTCTGCTCCTCTCCTGCTCCCACAACTTCTGCAAACAATGCCTGGAGCTGGTCCTGGTGAACCAGAACTGCACCCACGTCAACGGACAGTTCTGCTGCCCAGTGTGCAGGAAAGTAAGAGAGGCTTGGGGCCCTTCTGCTGCTGACATAGCAGACTTCTTTCTGGTCGACACAGCTTTGAATCTATGCGATAAAAGAGCTAAGGTTATTTGGCCTGCAAAATTAAGACTGTCTGGCCAGAACTCACATCTGTGAAGGGTTATCAGCAGATTTCTGGAGAAGGAAATGGCAATCCACTCCAGTATTCTTGCCTGGAGAATCCCATGGACAGAGAAGCCTGGTGGGCTACAGTTCATGGGGTCACAAAGAGTTGGACATGACTGAGTGACTAAGCACATCAGTGGATTCTGGGGGGAGCAGGCTTAGAAGACACGGTGGGACCCAGGATAGGAGCTACAGGAAGATATGCACTGTGGTTTAATGTTAGAAGGTTCTAACAGAACCACCAAGAGATCCAATACACCAGCTTTCACTTATTCAGTATATGTTGGGGTAGGGGGACATTTTCAAGCACCTGCCAGGGGCCTTGTCACTGTGCCAGGATCCCAGGGATACACAGATGACAAGACATGTCCTTGTAGGAGCCAGTGGCTCTCTGTACAGTGAGAGGCCCTGCAGTGGAGACACAGAAGATCGCAGAGGAGCTGACAGCTGGGGAGAGACTACAGGGCAGATGAAGAGAGGATGGCAGATACCAAGGGCCCGAAGGGGGGCCTGCAGCCAGGTTGCTTAGAGTTGGTTAGTAAATAAGAAGGCTTCAGTGTGGGGTTGTGGGAGATGCCAGGGCACTTAGGGCATCCATTAGGAGGGCAGGTCAGGGCATGTTGAAGGAGGTCTTACATGTCATGCAAAAGGCTTTCTTTATATGCTGTCCCCTAAGCAGTGGGGCCAGGAGAAATGTTTCACCTGGAAAAGGTCATATAGCACTGGTGTTGAAACTGTACTGTTACCTGCAGTATGTATTCTCATGGAAACTTATTGGACAGTGACTTGTATGGTGTTTCTCTCCCCAGGTGGCATGTAAGTACTGTGATTGGTGTTTCTGCAGGTCCCTTGGGTATGTGTGGAAGGAAGTAAGAAAATATAAAATGAATGGACTGCAGGAAGAGGGAAGTTATGTAGGGTTCTATGTCAGTAGGAACAGAGGGTGGGCCGATTGGAGAGATGGGTGCTGGCTCTCCAACGGTAATCAACTGAATATGGGGGCTAGGGTGCCAGTGAGGAGGTTGTGTGTGAGAGAGTGTGTGTATAGAGCTGTGGGGGCAGCAGTTCAAAAACACCGGATGCTTAGATTTACTTATGCTTTTCGTTTTGCAGCGATGGCTAGCCTGGGGTTTAAACCCAGGACTGGCCCCTTTAAAGATTAATTTTTTTCCTCTTCCCAGAGGGACCAGGGAAATTCTGAGCAGGGTGTAATCCCTTTGGAAATGGTATGCTGGCTGAGGAGGGCTGAGCAGCCCAGCTCCTCGGTCGAGAGAGAGGGACTATCTGGAAAAAAAATTTGTTAACATTTACCATATCAGGATTACGGGCAAGATAATCTCTAAATTTAAGACTGCCCACTTTATGGAACTCCCTCCCCAAGCTTAAGTAGGCACTTTTTTTTCAAAGAAGTAACTGAAAATTCACTGTAATAATAATGATAGTAATTCCTTTAATGCATATTCCCAAATAGGAATCTAAGCATGTATAAAGAGAATGGGCTGGGATTTCTGTTTGCAGATGATGAAACTGAGGCTGAAAATTCAAGTCATGGTGTTTAAGTTCACCCACTTCTTTTTTCCCTCGAGGTATAAAATACACACAGTAAAGTGTGTGATGCTCACATCTGAGGTATTTGTTGTTGTTGTTTAGTTGCTAAATTGAGGACATCTGAGGTACACTTTATCCCAATAAAGCACATATGTATATTTCCACATAAGCCCTACCTGGACCAACATCTAGAACATTTTCTTCACCCCATGTGCTTCCCACACACACACATGCACAAGAAACTTTAAGACTTCTTTTACCATGGGTTAGTTTTGCGGAAGAGACAACTGGGTCCAAGAAGGGTTTAGATAGTCTGGTTGGAAATCAGTGGATATAGCTAGGATATTGGTTGTTTGGCATTTATCCCCCTCTCTAGTATATAAACCCCTGAGGGTAGGGCCAGGTGCATTGTCCTGTTCCCTACCACATTCCCAGCATGGTAGGTGCTTAATGAAAGTTTATTAAACAGTGGAATTTAAGGATATTGACAGATGAGTGGACTGTGATGGTACCTCAGGGTGGCATGTAGCCTTGGCTTTTTTTCCGTTGCTCTTATTTGGGTATGACAAGACGAACAGATCAGGAGATGACTGCCATTGAAAAATAGCTTGTAACTCATAGACCCCAAGAGGAGGGGCCATACCACAACACAGTGGGCCACATGTGGAAATCAGAGTGAGTCAGGAAATGGGGTGGGGGAAATGTGGACAAGAAAGCCCTTTGTTTGGGTTTCTGCAGGAAGAAAACAGGTAAGGTATGGTGAGAAGGCTTAGGATTGGCCAGCTTGAACAATTTCAGCGGCCTCTGGGACACAGGGTTGCCTCTAGATGTCTAGTATATCTGGCCCCGGATGGCTAGGGGAGCTGGTAGGGGAACAGCAAATATAAAGGAGGTGGTTGGGGTGTGGACCCCAGATTTCAGTTTACATGTAAAATGCATGCCCCCAAGTGAATCTTTTACTGTCTCTAGGAACTGGCTAGCCAATGGGAAAGGTCATCCCAAGTTCCAGATACTAGAACATCAGGACACAGTAAATACAAGATGTGGCTAATCTGCTTTGGTCTTCAATGCTTAATTTAGGCATCTTCTTAAGATCCCAGTCACACTCTCCTCTGTCACCCTTCCTTCTCTCTACTCCCCTATACATCCAACCACACAGTCCTTCATGAAGGTCTGTCTTCCCACTGGCCTGAGCATCCCCAGGAGACAGAGCAGGTGCTAACGAAGACTCACAGGGTCAAAGAAAGCAGGTTCCTGCTCCATCTGATGGAGTCTGTGATGACTGTCTCTGTAGACAGTGCACATACTTGCTCCAGTGAGAGTGCTTTGGAGCAGGAGGAGATATTCTACAGGGATGAGGAGTCTTCACAGTCATTTCCTTTTGAAAGCCTGAAGGGGTGGCCTGGGCTGACTTCCCGCTCACTGATGTTTATGTGGAGGAAGGGCGGTGTCTCATCCTTCCCCATGACGATGTCACAGTTGATGATGGGAATTTGCCACAAGCTCATGCCGGCTCTGTGTTTTAGGTCATTTATTTGAGGGGAAGGGGAATAGACAAATTGCAGAGGAACATCCTGGCTGAAAACATACTGGAGAAGTTTAAGGAAGAACTTGAGACGCTTCGCACCAAGGAGCAAAATCAACTTGCTCAGACATGTGAAAAGCATGGAGAAACTGTGAATCTGGTATTCAATCACACTTTTAATTTTATCTTATTCTTGCTTAGCTACCCAATCTGTCAAATTACTCAGCAACCTATTGTTGAAATCAGATATTTGCTCAGGAGTGTAGTAGAGGATTACTTTCCAGACAAATGCACATACCAAGGCTACCTTCATTCTTAGTGATGGAGCCCAGGGTTTGGTGTGTGTGTGTGGTTTTCAGTCAGGTAAACTGCAGCAAGATTTAAGGGACCACAGATAGACAGGCTCACATAGTTACAAAGAAGTTACATGACAGTCAGATCTATAAGAATTTAGCTACATACATATGATTTATGATCATACAGAGAGAGAAGGTAGGGTAAGATGGGACCAGGAATCTGCCGTTCCTCCTTTTGGCCACATGCCATTTGGAGAGCTGTGTATGACTCTGATGTTTGATCTTAAGCATGAATTTTTGATACAAAATGCCATATGAACTCTTCACTGTACTCTCTATGATGCTGTACATGTTATATGTTTATACACACATGTCTACAGTGTGATTTAAATAAAACCATGTGTACCCCACTCTAATTCCATGTTCCCCAGCTAAGAGATCTTCACAGGTAATTTGACACATGTAATCTACCCCTTTGGTAATAACTTTAGGATGATCTCCATGTCAGATATAACTCCGATATGAATCAGACATAACACCACTTTAGCTTTCATTCTTCACAGTTGACAAAGCCCATACACAACCTTGAGCCTGTTTGATTTCCCCACCAACCCTGGAGGGACAGAATGAGGCCGTTTCCATGTTTCACAGACTATGCAGCACCAACCACCAGGTTTAGGTTGCTTTGATAATGGTCATAGATGAACTAAGTGATTTCCTTGGAGAAGGTCAAAAGTTTTCCTGAGTCTTTATAAATTGGCTCTAGCTTGAAGCTCTGCAGACAACTCCTAAAGCATAGATGTAGCTCTGAGAGAAGGCTTCATAGCTCCAGGGCCCCCAGAACTTTAGGGCAGAATATCAAGGGTCTGTCCTCAGAGGGCAGGGTTTCTTTGGGAGTTGCCACCCTCAGCCAGTTTCCTGGGCTGTTCTGAGCTCCACCAGCTTCTGCTCTGCTTCTTCCAGCCACCGCTCTTCATGCAAGGACATAAATGACATGTTTGGGACAGGCTAGCTCAGGCCACTAAGAGGACTCAAGAGAATACAATGTGATTTGGTGTTCTTGTTGAATTCTGCCTTTAAAAATCTGTCTCATTCATCACAAATTCTCAGTGGTTCTGTCTCACCCTCAGCAGTAACCTCCCTTTCTGAGATTCCAAGTTTTCACTAGTAAGTTTTCATTTCATTCATAAGGTTTCATTCCAAGGCTCCCATTAGCCAAGTGAAGGGGCCAGCAGGACAGTGAGGGTCCTACTCAATCCATTTCATCTAAAATAGGCCAGTTTATCTTGAGCCTGTAGCAGGGTCAACTTTATTGAGGTCCTTATGATATTATCAGTAGCTACCATGTGTATAATGTCTGCTGAGTGCCAGATTGCATACCAAGCATGTTCCATGCATCGTATTTAATCTTTATAACAGCCCTTGGCTTGGCCAAGTGGAAATGACTTTGCTTCTAAGCCCAGTTCTATCCCTTCATGGCAGTGTGTCCTTGGGCAAATCATTTAGCAACTTGGAGACTTACCAGCTTTCTCGCCTGTAAAATGGACACAATACTATCCAAATCAAAGGGTCATTATGAGGAGTCCAAGAAATACCAAGTGTGGTATGTGCTGACTAAATTACCTTTCAAGCATCCTAGTACCACCACCACCTCTGCCTTCCATACATCAAGCCTCCTGTGCAATTGATTTTTGATATCTGCTTAAGAACACATTCAGAATGTCAGTAGCCTGAGGTTACAAAAGGTTCTGAGTGTGTAGGACTGGAACAAGAAGGGAAATAAGTGTCATTGACTTTTCTTTTGTCAATCAGATGTGCCTAAGTGATGAAGAACCAATATGTGGAATATGCAAGCTCTTTGGGGACCACAAGTCTCACCCAGTAGCCAAGATTTCTGATGCCTATGCAGAGAGGAAAGTGAACTTTGCTATGGATATTCAGCTGGTGCTGAAGAAATCTGAGAGCACAGCACAGGCAGTGCAGGTATGGCTCATATGGCTCATGTCTTTTCTCCAACAGCAGGGCAATGTTTGGCTTCCATTCAAATGATTTGCTGTTCTCTTGAGGACACTACATTCACAAAAGCAGTATTTAAATAAGAGGGAGAAATTCTCTAGAGAGTGAGTCTCCTTAAGTGTGTTCTGAAATACGTCAAGTTTTGAAATGTGCATGTTGAGAAATGGTTGAATTCTATTTGCTTAAAGGGATTCCAAAATGATCATTTAATGGCCATTTTACTCTTTTGGGTTTCCCTGGTGGCTCAGCTGATAAAGAATCTGCCTACAGTGTGAGAGACCTGGGTTCCATCTCTGGGTTGTGAAGATCCCCTGGAGAAGGGAATGACTACCCATACTAATATTTTAGCCTGGAGAAGTCCATGAACAGTATAGTCCATGGGGTCGCAAAGAGTCAGACACAACTGAGTGACTTTCCACTTCACTTTACTCTTTTAAGATGACTAAGTAAGATGTATCCTAGCTTCTATGGTTTATTTTCCTTATTTTATGACTCCCCCCCACCCCCCCGCCCGGCCCTGCCGAAACTTAGATATTAGGAATTAATCTCTGGATACATTTGTCAAGAGAACAAACTTTTCTAAGTCACACACACACACACACACACACACACACACAGACTGAAGACTAGACAGTCTTTGAGAAACAAATTCTAAACTTTAGCTTTTGTAGAGAAGGGATATCTGCAGAGTGGCCAAGGCAGAGGCTGCTGGGGACTGGGCCACACTAGCCACCTAACATTTGGTATCACAGGTTGCGTCTCTGGAAGCAGAAGCTAAGACAGAGTTTGGGGTACAAGATATCCAAGACTGCCATCTGTAAGAGTAGGAGGAGGTAGATGAAACAGAGGAGAAGGCAAACTACACCACAGGCCTGACAAGCAATGCCTGATCCAGCTTTGCCCATCAGAGTACCCTATGTTGAGCTGCAATGGGCAGGCGACTGTAGGTCCTTTTGCTCAGCCTCCAAATGTAGGCTGATGTGGGAAGGGCACAGCAATCCCAAAGGATCTGACACCTGAAGGCTGGTCATACCTCGACAGGCAGCAAGTCCTCTCTGGAAAGGGGGATTGGGCCAGAATATCTCTGTCTATCATGGCTGACTTTTATAGATCTTCTTCTAAATACCAAATATTGGTTAAAATTGGATTTTATTATTTCCTCATCTGACCCACATAGAGTAACAAAGTCTGAATTTATTCTCCCTTCTGGAAAAATAAAACAAAATAAACAAAAATATATGGAACAACAGTTTTCAAGACACTGGACCTCAGGCAATAAAAGATACTAATCTCTGAGAGACAGGATATACACAAGATTAGCTCTACAGTTGCCACAATTTACCGCCTTGAGAGAGCTTGAAAGGGCAGAAAGAGGGAACCCAAGCAAAGCCTGGCAGATTCTTTGAGTTTAGGAAATGGAACTGAGCCTCTGGGGGGGTCAAGACATTTCAAGTGCATAGGACAGAGTCCAGAGAAGAGAGCCCAGCACAGAGAGACGAACCAGAGATCTGCGGAGAGTCTCCTGGGAGTGTTCAACAGAGCTCAGCTCTTGTCTGTGAGGAAATTCCCTCGTGCCGTGGAAGGCTCCACGGGAAAAGATTGAGGGCAGTGTTGGAGCTCAAACAGAACCAGAACAAAGTCTGTTCCCACTAACAAGACTGGAAAAACTTGTAAATCATGAGACACTGAAGTGAGTCCTCAGGAAGTCTTAGTCCCAGAATGAGCATGGCTCCAGACTCACCTAACAATTAATGAAGTGAAAGTGAAAGTGTTAGTCACTCTGTCGTGTCTGATTCTTCACGACCCCGGGGACTGTAGGCTCCTCTGTCCATGGGATTATCCAGGCAAGACCACTGGAGTGGGTAGTTATTCCCTTCTCCAGGTGATCTTCCCAACCCAGGGATCAAACCCGGGTCTCCTGCACTGGCAGGCAGATTCTTTACCATCTAAGCCACCAGGGAAGCAAGCACTAAAAGATCATTTTTTCCAAGTAACTTAACTGTATCCTCTCAAAATATTAAGATTCATAGGAATGTAAAAATATACAACATCAAACAAGGTAAAAAAAATCACAATGTATGACTTCAAAGATTACCAGGCAAGCAAAGAAGCAGGAAAATATGACCCATAATGAAAATAATAATTTGCTGGTTTTTTTCAGTTGCTATATTATACTTATAATTATTGTAATTGTAGTCCATATTTCAAAAATTTAAGAGACAAAGAAGATATAGAAAAGATTCAAATCAAATTTCTGGAGATGAGAACCACAATGTCATGAAAAATACACTAAGTGGGATTAATAGCAGGTTAGTCACTGAGAAGAAAAGCCTTGTGAAATTGAAGACATAGCAATAGAAATTACTCAAAATGAAACCCAGAGAGGGGTGAGAATTTTTTTAAAAACAGAATTACTTAGAGGGGGAACAGCTTTGTGTCCCAATATTTGAGTAATTGAAGTCTCTGAAGGAAATGACAGGGTTGGGGAAGGACAGGAAAAATATTTTTAAAAATAATGGTCAAATATTTACCAAACTTGATGAAAAGTATTAAAAAAAAAACCCCACATCCAAGAAATTTGACAAACACCTAGAAAAATAAATATGGCTAAAACTATACCAAAGTACATCACAGTCAAACTGCTGAAGCCAGTGATAAAGAGAAAATATTAACAACAGCCAAAGGAAAAAACACACACACACATTTCATACAGAAGAATAAAAATAAGGATGACATCTGCTTTCTTGTTGGAAACAATCCAAGTATGAAGAAAGTGGAGAAAAATCTTTAAAATATGAGTTTTAAAATGTCAACCTAGAATTCTATATCTAGCTAAAATATCTTTCAAATATGAAGACAAAATAAAAACACTTTCTGACATGCAAAAGCTGAAAGAATTCATAACCAGCAGATTCACTCTATAAGAAATGTTATAGAAAGTCCTTCAGGCAGAAGGAAAATCTGAATCTAAAAGGAATAAAGGACACCAGAAATGGCAACGAAAACCGTAACTATGTAAGATTGTTTTCATATTATTTAAGTCTTTCAAAACATACCTCACTGTTTTTAAAATAACAATGTAATGTGACATTCATTACATGACAATAATAGCATGGGCCTAGGAGAGACATCATGGAAGTACAGTAGGATAAGGGTTTTATACTATATGTGAAGTGAGGTGAAGGTAGACTGTGATAAGTTAAAGATCTGTGCTATAAGCCCTCAAGAAAGTGAAAGTCCCTCAGTTGTGTTTGATTCTTTGCAACCCCATGGACTAAGTGTGCCAGGCTCCTCTATGGGATTTCCCAGGCAAGAAGACTGGAGTGGCTAGCCATTCCCTTCTCCAGGGGATCTTTCCGACCCAGGAGTCAAACCTAGGTCTCCTGCATTGCAGGCAGATTCTTTACCATTTGAGCCACCAGGGAAGTCCATAAGCCCTCAAGCAACCACTAAAATAATAGGGTTATTGCTAATAAGCCAGCAATGGAGATAAAATAGGATTATAAAAGATACACAATTAATCCTAAAGAAGGTAGAAAGAGAGGAGGAAGGGAACAAAAACCAGATTGGGCAAATAGAAGCAAATAGCAAGATGATAAAACTCAAATCTAGCCATATCAATAATCACATCAACTGAAAATGGTCTAAACACTCCAATTAAAAAGGCTTTCATCAGAGTGAAAAAAAAATCAAGACCCAACTCGGATAAATGTGCTTTATATGAAGACACAAATAGATTCAAAGTGAAAGAGTGGAAAGAGACATGTCATGCTAACATGAGTCAAAAGAAGCCAGAGTGGCTCTATTAACATCGGGCAAAGAAGATTTCAGGCCAAATAATATTATTAATACCAAGGAGAAAGAAGGTAATTTCATTTTGGTAAATGGATCAATTAATCAAGAGAATAAAAACAGTCTGAAATGTTTATGCATCTAATAAAGAATCTTCAAAATATATAAAGCAAAAACCAGTAAAACTACCAGGAGAAATAGACAAATCCATGATTTTCAATATCATTTTCTTGATAACTGATAGAACAGGTATGCAGGAATTCTGCAAATATATAGCTTGAATAACATTGTTAATCAGGCCTGACAAACATTTATGGAACATTCCCCCCAACAACAGCAGAACACATTCTCAAGTTCACACAGCTCGCCAAGATAGACCATAAAACAAGTATCAATAAATTTAAAAGGATTTAGGGCTTTCCTGTTGGCTCAATGATAAAGGATCCTCCTGCCAATACAGGAGACATGGGTTCAATCTCTGGTCCAGGAGGATCCCACATGCCATGGAGCAACTATGCCCGTGTGCCATAGCTATTGAACCTGTGTTCTAGAGTCTGGAAACCACAACCCCTGAGCCCTCAAGCTGAAACTACTCAAGCCCGCACGCCCTAGAGCCTGTGCTCTGCAACAAGAGAAGCCACTGCAATAAGAAACCCGGGCACTGCAATCAATAGTAGCCACCACTCACTGCAACTAGAGAAAAGTCTGCACAGCCAATAAATAAAAACATAAAATTATTTTTTTAATGTTTTTAAAAATTCAAATTATATAAAGTACGTTCTCTGTTCAGTTGCTAAGTCACGCCCAACTCTTTCCGACCTCACGCACTGCAGTGCACCAGACTTCCCAGTTCTTCACCATCTCCTAGATTCTGATCAAATTCATGTCTTTTGAGTCAGTGATGCTATCCAACCATCTCATCCTCTGTAACCCTCTTCTCCTTCTGCCTTCTATCTTTACCAGAATCAGGTCTTTTCTAATCAATCGGCTCTCCTCATCAGGTGGCTAAAGCACTGGAGCTTCAGCTTCAGCATTAGTCCTTCCAATGAATATTCAGAGTGGATTTCCTTTAGGATTGATTGGTTTGATCTCCTTGCTATCAAAGGGACTCTCAAGAGTCTTCTCCAGCACCACTGAAGAATTCAAAAGCACAAGTTCTTTGGCATTTAGCCTTT